TTAACAGTGAGGGTGACAGAGCCCTGGAACAGGCTGCCCAGAGAGGTTGTGGAGTCTCCTTCTCTGGAGATCTTCAAAACCCACTTGGATGCAGTCCTGTGCCATGTGCTCTAGGTGACCCTGCGTGTGCAGGGGGGTTGGACTAGATGACCTCTGGAGGTCCCTTCCAACCTTGAGCATTCTATGATTCTATGTCTGCATCTGAAAAAAGAACCCAATACTAACCTATAATACTATCTCTATACTACTTTTTTTTCAAAATGAGTACCAGAAAAGCCCCTAATTGTTCCCCGGAAAAAAAAAAAAAAAAAAGAATTGATCTTTTTCTACTTAACTTTTATTTCCAGTCAAAATGAGAAATTTATCTTGCAGTCGATAAACAGATATTTTCTGATGAAAACGTTTAACTGCAAACGTTCCAGCAACCCTGCTCACCTCCAAGCACGCTCAGAGGGCAAGGGCATGAGCAGGGGGCACAAGATGACATTGTGGGGCAAGGAGCCCACTGTGAGCCAGGAGGCACCCAGATCCCCCTCTCCAGCAAAAGGGCTGATTTCAGAAGGAGCATTTCTCCCCAAAAATCCAGCAGCACCATATCCTGCTGCAGAATGGGGCTTTTGGCAGTCATAGGTAATGCCTCCTCTTGTGCCTAGGATCCCCATAACACGCCCTCTCTCTGCCCCACAGGTGTGGTGTTCCCGTACTCCCCGCGGCTGGGGCGGTACAACCTGAACTTCCATGAGGCCCAGCAGACGTGCCAGGACCAGGACGCTGTCATTGCTGCCTTTGACCAGCTCTACAATGCCTGGCAAGGGGGGCTGAACTGGTGCAATGCTGGCTGGCTCAGCGATGGCTCCGTGCAGTACCCCATCACCAAGCCCCGTGAGCCCTGCGGTGGCAGAAACACCATGCCAGGGGTCCGGAATTACGGTTTCTGGGATAAGGATAAAAGCAGATATGATGTCTTCTGTTTTACTTCAAACTTCAATGGTAAGAGTTTTAGTCGCTTCTTCAAAAGGGCATCTCTGAGCTTAAACAAAAAGAAAATAAACCTAATGGCAGCAAAGGGCAGCAAGTGATATTTGATTTATCAAAGTTTATGTTACTTTGGAAAATATTATTGTTGAAGTTACAAAGACACATGTGTGAACTGTCTTTGCCACATGTTCACATAAATCATTTCTAAAATTCAGAACTTATATTTGCAACAGTTTCGAATATCTTCATTTTCACCCTTTTAAAATTTGTGTGTATATTTTTAATGCTGATATATACCCAGTTTATTTCAGTTAAAGTTATGAAGAAAGCATGATTTCTTTAACAGAGCTTTCATTTTATATTCAGTTTTCTGACAATGTTTTACAATTTTAATATATCACCAAAACAAAATTCTGATTGCAACTTTGTCTCTGCTGTTGTGTCAAGCAACTCTGCACTGCCCATATGACTAATACTTCCTTATCAGCACAGCTATTTCTAGCTTTTATGTGTAATAGTTTAGATTCCTAATCTTAGTACACTATCAAAGCCCTAACCTGTCCACTTTTGTTGTGATCTTGAAGTGCTCCAAACCTTACTTTAGTGACTGCAAGCTTTTTTACCTATTTGTAGGTGCTACTTGGCATTGGAAATGGCTTGATGTCAGCTTGCTACATTTAACGTTTAATCTAGTAGTTGAAAAAGATTTAAAACCATGGTTGTGAATAAGAGGAACACTGCAGGAGAACACATGCAAAAGCAGTCTACAATCTTCTACAACATTGTTCTCGCGGGCAATTTCTATCCAACATGTTCACACATGTTTGGCTTGCAGCCCAACCAGACCCAGGAGCATGGCCCCTTTTGTTTATGCTCAGATTACTAACCCACAATGGGGCAGATTTGTCCTTGAGCACACACACAAAAACAAACGTCTGGCTCTCTCTCAGAAGATATGCTCTAATGCTAAGTCTGCTCCACCCTCTCAAAAACTCCCAAGCCCTCAAACCAACAATATCAAAAGTTAGGTTGTATGCAATCTGAAACAAATATTTATCTGATTTTTGTCATGCCACATCATTGGCATATGAAAAGCTGGCTCATTTTTACTTGTGTAATTTATGCGAGTCCAAATCCTATACAAGCTCATCTCTTACGTACAGATTTAATCATACTAATAAAGGAAAAAAAAAGAGGAATAAAATACTCAAGAAAAAAAAAAAGCAAAATAGCTTCAATATTTAAAGTGCTTGCAGAATAAATGTTTGTGACTTGATTACTAACCAACATCTTTTCTTCAGACAAAGCTGTCAGACAAAGAGAGACTGGACAGTCTCTTAAGGACAGAGAAAAGTCATTTCTGAAAAAATGTAGCAAAAGATAAACAAGGTTTGTACCCTGAGACAGTAAGAGAGACAGAGAAAGAGGCAGGGAGAGGCAGAGGCATATGCCAGAGGCAACCAGAGGTGGTTGGGAATTCAAAGGGAGGAAGACACCCCTACAAATCTCATATTGGTGAGTTTGTTAAAATCACCTGCCATTCAGAACACTGCATGGCAATAGGGTGGTATGAAGAGTTGGGCACCATTTTTTTCAGGCCTCACCAGCTAGATTAGTCTCCCAAGGCATTAGCATGAAATCTGGGCTTCTGCTTCTCTCACCTTCCACCTCTTTTCCAGCTCCTACCCAGTTGATATTATCCTTCCATATCCTCCCCTATTCACCTGCCAAGGATACTTTAATATCCACAGCAACCCCAGCAACTGTCCCAAAACTCCAGCTTCCTATTTTCACCTCAACACTAGATCGGTTATGTCTGTTTAACAATTTCATCAGCTTTCTCACTGTCAAGGAAAAAAAAGTGTATGATAATTGCAACGAGGTTGCAATTGTCAAGGACAGTGGGTTTGGGCAAAGATGTGTTCCTGCAGTGGTCAAGAGTCATCATACACCCAATATTGATTCTCTCAGCTCAGCAACAGCCAAGGAAAATGAGATGTGGTTAGGATGCCATGCATTTGCAGCAGTGGGAATGACTGCTGTAATCTGTTGACATTATAAAAAAGCTTTCAGCTTTATATAAGAGAGCTGGAGAAATGCCAAGAGCCCTAAGATCACATGATTGTAGTGCTTGCTTAAAAAAAAAAAAAAAAGAAAAAAGAAACACAGCGAGCTGCTAGGAAGAATGAGGGTATGTAGGGCTTAAGATTTCTACTCACTGGGTTTTTCTTAAAGAAAGGAATCCCCAAAACACATTATAATCCAGAAAATTAATTCCTCCATCTCCTGCCACATAAAATAATGACTATCAATATTGAGAAGTCAGCACATTAGGAACCTTTCTTGGCAGGAACCTGTTGGCAGGCAAACCCAGCAAATCTGTACTGCATTTATTGATTGCATTTTATTTAATCATTCTGGTTACACATTTTCTTTTCCCCCCATGAGGTTTACTATTAAAGTTTTCCTACTTAAAAAGAAGGGGCAGAGAATAGGAGTTATTATTATTGACATCATATAGACTGGTGGAGCCACTCTCTGCAGTCGTCCCAGGTAGTGCACCCAGAGAAACCCCCAGTTTGAGATTCCGCTACCCCCTTGCCATAGAGCAGAGGGGGCAAAATTAGCAGTATCAAGCCAAGAACAAGAATGGGAACATATCCCTGTTCTAGGTGGCAGGAGGGCCCTTTCCCAGCCCACCTCGCCCCCTCAAGCGGCCACATCCAACAGGTATGAGGCCCTGGAACTTGAGGGTCTGACAGATGAGGTCAAGGACCAAGGCCCATCTAGGGGGTTGTCTAGGGTGAGGCAGTCAAATCCACACCTTAAGACTGCCCCCACTAAGGAGAAAAGGAGCACCCGGAAGAAGCGACGTGTGATTGTCGTGGGTGACTCCCTGCTGCAGGGCACGGAGGCACCGATCTGTAGACCCGACCCCTCATCCAGAGAGGTTTGTTGCCTGCCAGGGGCTCGGATAAGGGATGTTGCAGAGAGGCTACCAAGATTTGTCCAAGCGTCTGACTATTATTCCCTGGTATTGTTTCATGTGAGCACTAATGATGCCATGGGGAAAGTGAGTAACATTAAACGAGATTTCAGAGCCCTAGGGATGGCAATCAAAGGTATGGGAGCCCAGGTTGTGTTGTCCTCTATCTTGCCAATGTGGGGAATGGATATGAGGAGGAAAAGGAGCAGATTACAGGTGAACAACTGGCTGCACCACTGGTCTTGGCAACAGGGTTTTGGTTTCTATGACTATGGGACTCTGTTTGATGACCACCAGCTTGTGGGGAATGATGAGAACCACCTTAGCAAGAGGGGCATGCGCGTCTCTGCCAAAAAGTTGGCCAGCCTGTTTAAGAGGGCTTTAAACTAAGCATGAAGGGGGATGGGGAATGTTACATGGACAGGGCAAACAGCGGCAGGCAGCCAAAGCCAGAAGGTGTCCAACAGGGATATGGTAGTAGGAAGGTGAGGATAGGAGATGATTATAGAGGGTCCTCTTTCACCCCTCCTGGGAAACCCGCAGGCTCAATTACTTCCCTGAAATGCCTGTACACCAATGCGCGAAGCATGGGGAATAAGTAGGATGAACTGGAGATTGGTATGCAGGCCCGGTATCATGATCTCATTGGAATGAGAGAGACATGGTGGGACAGCTCACACAACTGGAGCGCTGCCATGGAAGGCTATGTGCTTTTTAGGAAGGACAGGCTGGGAAGGCGAGGTGGTGGAGTTGCTCTTTATGTGAGAGAGCAACTGGAATGCATGGAGCTCAACCTGGGAGTGGATGATGAGCGAATTGAGAGCTTGTGGGTAAGGGTTAAAGGGCAGGCTAATGTGGGAGACACTGTGGTAGCAATTTGCTACAGGTCACCTGACAAGAATGAGGAAGTTGATGAGGCCTTCTACAGACAGCTGGATGTTGCCTCACAGTCACAGGCCCTGGTTCTCATGGGGGACGTTAACCACCCCGACATCAACTGGAAAGACAACACAGCCAGGCACAAACCGTCCTGTAGGTTCCTGCAGAGCACTGATAATAACTTTTTAAGACAGATTGTGGAGGAGCCAACAAGGAGAGGTGGGCTACTGGACCTCATGCTAACAAACAGAGGGACTTGTTGGAGACGTGAAGGTGGGGGGGAGCCTCGGCTGCAGTGACCATGAGTTGGTGGAGTTCAGGATCCCCTGAGGAGGTGGCAGGGCTGTATGTAGCC